TTTCTATATTGGATTATTCAATGTGTAATATAAGGCTTATTTTGCCATGTATATTAATGAATTATTAAATTTAAAAATTTTTTCTCTTTCGAATGATATACGGATGTCCTATAACTAAGACTGATAGTTTTGTCGTAATTTAAACAAAATCGATTTTAAATATTTATAATTATTACTTTTTTAAACCCATCATATTGACATATTGTTATAAACGAAACCAGTGTATTTGTAGATAAATTTTTTGTAATTGGATTTGTATTGGTGGGGAATGGGATAATTAGTATTAAAATATAATGAAAAAAAAATAAAAAAAAAATTGTTGAAAATCTGATATTTTTTAGATTTCTACGATTCTTTAAGTGAAAAGTAAATATGCAAAGGTTGCAGTTTTCAAAAATGACGAAGATATTAACGTTATGTTTAATTTTTTGTATTATTTTAAGTATTAAAATAAGTTTAATATTTAAATAAAAATAAAACTGTAAAACATATGTATTTCGTTGAACTTATAATAATAATAATAAGATCAATATTGTTTGTACAGGTACAATTAGAAATTATAGCCCCAGTATTTTCAAAATTTTGTAAAATCCTTTGAATTGACAATTTGCGCACTGTTGCCTGAATAAAACATTTTTATTATTGCTACTTCCCCCTCAACTGAATACATTTTTAATCAACTTAATTTTTTTTTAAACAATAAATCACAAAATAAAAATTTTGGCCATTCAAAAATTGTCAAATAGCAGAACATCAATATGACCAAACGCAACTTGTTATACAGCGTGTAAACTTTAAGGGATGGTCTGAAAAATGTATTATATTCTTATATAAATATACATATATTTCAGTCCTCTACAGTTCTTCTAGAATTTTGGTGAAAAATAATTAGGGAAGCAGAAATTCAGCAATTTAGAATTTACCACTGGGTTTCCTATGGCTCATTTGACGATTCACCACCCTGTATATACACAGTGGATTAAAAATCTGAAAACGCCTAATTTTCTCTTAAATGGATGGTTCAAATTGTACAAAAACTAAGATATGCCTATTTTGTAATATAGATGATATAAATGTGATGTTTGCAATGTTGCGAGGTATAAGATTTTTCTGATATCATTAGTCACTTTGGTTTTCTATATAAAATACTCTATAGATTGTACTAATATTGGAATCCCTACTTCAATACGAGTTCAGCAATATCTAACACTTGGTATTTTGTCTGGTCGTGAAGGTCTTAAATAAATAAAACTTCTTAGTCCCAAAGAGTTTTGAAGTAATTCAGTAAATTTAGAGTTCTGTGATTTTGACAATAATTTTTAAAACTATCAATAGCTTGACGTTTATTGAAAAGCTTTGTAAAATAAATTATATTAATGACTAAAGCTGATTATTATTTTATGTGTTACAATAAAGAAAGTTTTTAATAAAAAAGAGCGAATTATAAAGTACCTAACTTGTTTAATAATACTCTCCCAAACCATTTTTCTATCCATAGGACAACGACGCGACGATTCAAAAAAGAGTAAAGCGCATTGAGGAGATTGAACGAATAAAACATTGCATTCAAACACACATACACAATCACGCTAAGCGATCAACCCTACCCCTAGGAACATGTGTATACCAAACTAAGTATGGGATCCACATGTCCGAAGATCAAACCGGTCACACTTCACTAGTGAAGTGGTATCTATCTGACCCCCAGGCTTTTCCACCACCCCTCCTCATCGTGTGACTTACGTGAGGAGGCTTATGATCTGAAAGTTACTTGAGGTGCCCCCTGGGTAATGAGATACCTCCTGTTTTTAATTACTGTGGTTATGCCACCTGACTGTAGGGGTAGCCACATCTAGGCTTTTCTCCCTATTTACTTTACTGAATCTATAGATTTTACTCTAACTTCACTTCGGGACGAGTCCATAAAAAAAAAAGAAAAAGAGCGTGTGTTGCGTCCATGAAGCCGACAGCCTGGGCTGTCGACTTCATGTCGACTGTCGACTTCCGGACATGAAAAAAGTGTGTGCTCGGTCACTCAGCCGCCGATTTGGCAAAAGTAAATTTTGTTCCCCTCGCCGGCTGGGCGCCCGAATTGTGTCCGGCCACCGAGCCCATGCTTCCGCACATGACCTCAGTGCTCGGGTGTCGCGAAAAGGATCAGCATTCACTTGATCCGCCTTAAGGGCCTAATTCGCATCAGCGGTATATAGAAGGCCTGACGGGCCTTCTATATAGAAAAATAGGATGAATTTTACGTTAAAATGTTTAATGAATTGAAATTGATTTTTGAAGTTCTGAATTTAAAAGAAAAACAACCGATTTTTTTTTATTGCATTCGAACAGATAGATCATGAACTGTTATATATTACAATAAAACTTTAGATATTGTTCTGAAGTTATTTCCTTAAGACATTTTAAAGTAATTATTATTTAAATGGTAAAAAGCAACAATTACAGGTTAAAGTAAATTTATTGACGTTTCAATTTCCATTTCGGAAATCGTTCTCAAAATACAAACATTAGTTTTGAGAAATGTTTGTATTTTGAGAACGATTTTCGAAATGTTAATTGAAACGTCAATAAATTTATTTTAACCTTTAATTGTGGCTTATTCCCA